TTTTTTTTTGCTTGAGGGGGTGGGGCTGGGGTTGCGCCGCCCCATGGCACTTCCCGAATCCCCAACCCCCCTCCCCACTGGCCGCCACGCATCCGCGGGGTCGGCGGACTGGCCGCGTCCGCGGATTTCGCCGCGCTCGGCCACCACCAAGGGGGATTCATAGGACCCCAACAAAAAAGCTTCACACCAGATGACCTTCCCCAAAACAGCACATCGCAAGGTTATGTGCAGCCAAACATTAGTCCAAGACTGAGACTGACATACCAACGTACAAACGGACTTTAGACTTCAGACGCTATGATTGACGGTTGAGAGAGGAAGGGTGAGGCGAGAGGACAGATAAACAACAACAACAACAACAAGCAACAAAGGCTGGAGGGTACAGGGGAGGCGGGTGTGCAGACAACCAGCAATAGGCAACAACTGGGTGGACAGGGCAGAGAAACCAGAAGAACACCAGCAAGCCCCAAAGCAACAGCGCACAACAACACACAAACCACCAAGGGTGGCAAGGGGGAAAAAAAAAAAAAATCCAAAAAATGCAAACACCGAAGAAAAAAAAAAACTGATGATGAAAGATTGTTTCATCGGAGCTGCACCGACTCATCAGAAGGCCCTCGACAATCTGCAGAATCTCTGCATTTGATGGTTTTGGTCATGAACCCTTTGACCCTTGTTGAAGGCAGACTGTCCCCAAGAGGAACATAGCAGCGGGCAGCAACCGTGTGGAGCACCAGGCAACACAGCTGCACAACGCCAAAAACGACTGCAAGGAACGACATGGCACGCAGGGCATGCAGCGTGGCAACTGTGTAGTGAAGCACAAGGCAACACAAGCAAGGCAATCACACTGCAAAGGACGACAGGGCGAGCCGACCAGCAACTCTGCAACCGTGGAGCGAAGCACAAGGCACCCGCAACGAGGCAACCATCCAACAAGGCCCACAAGCAGCAAACACGGAAGGCACGGCCAGCAGAAGAGCAGCACGGCAATAGAGCAGTGAAGCGCAAGGCAACACCAACAACACGGCCACAACACACTGCGAACACATCAACCTGCAAAGAACCAAATGCGAAGCGACCGGGACAGGCAGAAGGGCAGCGGCGGAGCGCAGACGAGGCCGTCCAAACATCCAACACGGAGCAAAGCAGCGCATGACCTACTCACATCACGATTGAACCCGACAAACTGTTGGTTCCCACCAGTGCCACCACCCACACTGACATTGAGTCAGGGAGGGACTCGGACGAGCATTCGTGATCACCCACAGGCAACACAGACATCCCGAACTGAGCGGCCCCCATAAGCTACGAATCCCCCCCGGCGGCGACCAAGCGCAATTGCGGCCAGGTCCGCGACCCCGCGGACGCGCGACTTCGCGGACTCATGGCGGCCGCTAGGGAGGGGCACAAAAAAATTGAGTGGTGGCATGGGGCGGCGCATCCCCAGCCCCACCCCCTCAAGCAAAAAAAAAAAAAAAACCAACAATATTTGGGGAGGGGGTGTTGGCAGTGAGTGAAGAAAAATTTTAAAAACCTAAAAAATAAAACAATGCCATTTTTTTTTGGTTTTTTTTTCCATTGATTGATTGATTGATTGGTAGGGGCGGGGTCACCCCCCCACCCCCCATACGAGCGCACACACACACGCACACACACACACACACACGTAGTACTGTATAATTCCATGTTCTAGCGGAAGACTCATTCGATTTTGCCTTTTTTTTTTTAATGATTGATTGATTGATTGATTGGTGGGGGCGGGGTCGCCCCCCCACCCTCCACACGAGCGCGCACACACACACACACACACACACACACACGTAGTACTATATAATTCCATGTTCTAGCGGAAGATTCATTCGATTTTGCCTTTTTTTTTTTATTGATTGATTGATTGATTGATTGATGGGGGCGCGGTCGCCACCCCAGCCCCCACACGAGCGTACACACACACACACACACACACACACACACACACACACACACCCAAAAAAAACTTTTTTTTAATATATTTTTCAATTTCTTCTCAACCTTTTATGATTTTGACTTTTTATAATTCTTTAACATGATCGTTTTCCCAAAAAACAAAAATGGGGTTGCAGAGATTAAAAATCCCTACAACCCCATATATATATATATATATATATCGTCAAATAGAACTGTCCGGTAAACTGTAGGCAGAGAGGGAGAAGAGGACAACAAACGAGGGGCTGTGACAAACTGTTTCGTATGGGTTTCACCGACTCATATATATATATATATATATATATATATATATATATATATATATTTGGCTTATTAAATAAATTAGGAAAAATACGGTAAATTCACGTCCGCAGCGCGGACGAGGCCAGCCGCGGACGCGGCCATACATGTGGCCGGCCTCCGAGCTCGACCCTGCGGAGGTGTCCGCGGGTGTTTCGTTGCCCATAAGAGTGCAGTAGGCACTCCAACTGAGGAACCACCGACTGTTTGGCACTACTTAAGGGTGCTCAGTTGGGAAAGTAAAAATACTTCGAAAAAATTAGAGGAAGAACAAAAGAAAAAAATTAGACGAAGAATAGAAGAAAATAATTAAAACAGACAACAACAGGAAAACCAACAGACATAAAACCCTAAAAAATAGGACTGTTATTTTGCAAGGACGTGTGCGTGTGTGTGTGTGTGTGTGTTGGGGGTGGGTGGGGGGGGGTTGGG